CGCACAATGGAAAAGCTGTCATTAACGCCAATATCGACTGGCAAGCTCTGTGCTCCGTGGAACAAGCCTCAACATTTGCAGAACACTTACATCAAACTTTCCAACCAAACCCCACACCATTAGATGCAATAGCAACAGCAAGAACAAGAACAACTATAGCTACAACAGCAACAATAAATGACAGCACCAACTACGAAAGCATACTAATACGCAGCACCACACAACAAGAAATAAAACGACTGATCCTAACAATGAAAACTAACAAAACCCCGGGATTCGACCTAATTAGCGGTAAAGTCATTAAAGAACTTCCTCCTAAAGCTATCCGAATGATCATCATAATTTTCAATGCCATATTCAGAATCAGGTACTTTCCCAGCGCTTGGAAACTAGCAGAAATAATAATGCTGCCCAAACCAAATAAAAATATACATGAACCTTCTTCATATAGACCGATCTCTCTATTACCAATACTGTCCAAAATGCTTGAAAAAATTCTCCTAGCTAGGATCAAGGAAATAATCAACAGCAAACAGCTAATACCAGACCACCAATTCGGCTTCAGGGAAAAGCACGCTACCATCGAGCAAGCTCACAGAATAGTCAACAAAATCACGACCGCTCTAGAAACTCGGAAATATTGTACATGCTTATTTCTAGATATAGAAAAAGCATTCGATAAGGTCTGGCATGAGGGCCTATTGGAAATCATAAAACAACTCTTCCCTGAAACAATCTACGAGCTCCTAAAGTCCTACCTTACCAATAGAACATTCTACGTAAAAGTAAAGGATGCGCACTCAAATATACAAAAAATAAACGCTGGAGTACCCCAGGGAAGTGTATTGGGCCCAATACTTTATACTTTGTATACAGCAGATATCCCAACAACTCCAAATAGTACCACCTGCACATTCGCCGACGACACCGGAATAATTGCAGGACATGAAGATCCCTACGAAGCCGTCAAGATCCTTCAAAATCACATAAGCTTGCTGGAGAAATGGTTGGAAAAGCGGAGAATAAAGGTTAACTACAGCAAATGCAATCACATAACTTTCACTCTCCGCAAAGGCAATATCCCAAAAATCACACTCCATAACAACGAAATACCGCAAACAAGGACCGTCAAATACTTGGGACTCCACCTAGACACTAAATTAACATCGAAGCAACACATAATTAAAAAAATACAACAAATCAGAATTCTAAGAAAAAACATGCATTAGTTAACCAGCCGTCGCTCAAAACTGAATATAGAAAATAAATTATTAATCTACAAGGTCATAATAAAACCCACATGGACGTACGGCATCCAACTATGGGGTACAGCAGCCAAAAGCCACATAGACAAGATGGAAGCCATGCAGTCGATAATACTACGAACAATAGTAGATGCACCCTGGTATATAAAAAACGAAGAGCTAAGGAAAGACCTACAAATCCTTACGGTAAGGGAAGAAATACACCGACTATCCAATAAATACAAAACAAGAACAGCGAACCATCCTAACCCGCTGGCCAGCAACATATACACCGATAGCACCCTAAGAAGATTGAAGAAGAAACAACCATAGGATCTAGTAATGTAAACCTGGATAAAAACACCTGTGAACCAGTGCCATTCCGTTGGGAATAGCAACCACACGCTACCCTCAACAATCAACAACTATGACAACGTGCCTAATGTCCTAGAGGACAAATTGCATGGGTTTTATCAGGGGTTACAATAAAAAAAAAAACGTATGTCTACGTGTATTCTACCGCCTACTCTGGCGGTGTATAGGACAGCATGCAGTCGCCTGTCTCTACTGGTTCTATGTTACGTTGCGACGCGCGCGCGCGTGATGCAAGGCGAAGCGCAACGTAAAAAGAAAAGAAAAATAAAATTAGTAATGTGATTCGATTATTTCTTTCCCTTATTCTTGGGCGATGAGAAAGGTATCGCTACCACTAGTCCTGATCGCTTATGACGCGTTAAACGTCCTCTGCAATCAGAACGATTAAAAGGCGGAAAAGTTAGATTTTGATTGTTTCTGTTGGGTTCGTCAGTGCTCTGAGTCCCATACGGGTCCCTCCTTGAAACTGTATGCTGGTATGCGTGGATTTAATGTAAGAAAGGTATTATAATTGAATGAAATGAAAATAAACGTTTAGTGTGCAAAAATCAGAGAATTGCGAATTGCGGGTGTAACGCAGGTTGTTCATTAAAAAATTATAATAGTATACGATGCCCCGAGATTTAATTAATAATTTCGGCAGTATTAATTCGAATCTTCGTTCTTGTACTCGTAGCAAAATTCGTTTGAGAACGTTGTTCTTGTTCAAAATTTACCGTTGGGTCTTGGTTTCAAGCAAATTCTTAGAATTTGATACAATGATTTTTATTGCCCCGTACGACCCATCATCTCTAAACAGTCCTCGAACGTTCGCTAACGTTCGTTTATGAGGATTCTCATCCCTCGCTCTGTACATTCATTCAAATACTTAAATTCTGATGCTATTTCACGCTACCATTCCAACACTCAATTCGCACACACGATCGGGTTTGGGACCGACTGGCGCCTACCCGAAAAGAGGGGAGAGTATCGATTAAAAATTCAAAAGATAATTATATCTTTATGCTTTTACGCAGTTAACCCGAGGTGACCCCTATAATGCGAAGCCTGGCTAACTGCGATACCTGTTTACGATACCTCACCCGGTCGAAACCGAGTTTTTCTAAGCTAGCTTCTATTACTACGCAGTTGAACACGACGATAGTTTCAAGGAAGGGTAATAAATTAAATAAAAAAATGGAGAAATAAGAGAGTGAACTAAAGGAAAGAAAAGACAAAAATACAATAATTATACGCTCAAACTCTTCTCTGTGCGTTCCTCACATGAAGAGTCTCTTATAACCCGAGGACTTGATGAGAAAGCACAGAGTTGAGGAGAAGAATTAAAATGATGAAGTAATTCATCCCCCTCACGCCTCTTACATGAGGAGATTCCTACAACCGGAAGGCTTGAGGTGGACAAATTTGCAAAATTTTCCGAACGTGACACTATACACATATCGCGTCGACCAAAAACTAGTATACAGTGCGATAACCATATACATAGTGCGATATTTGATTTAGTGCGAATTTTAAAATGATACCAGGTCGCATTTAATGCGAACAAAAATTCAGTTAATGCGAGGCTTTTTTCGATCCAGACGTAGATCGAAGCATGCAAGTTAACAGAGACTTGAATAAAATACTGCGGGTTTATCAACACATATACGGAGATATGAAAAAGCAGAAGAAAGTACAATCAATACTGTTAAAATACTTTTAAAAATAATAAACATGTTTATGCCATTATAATTTAATAATATACGTATGAAAGGTATATCTCAAAATTTTAATCGCATATTTTCTTTAACTAAGAACCAATTCCTATATTTAAAGTATTCGATTAGTACGAATTCAAATAATACGAACAATTTCTGGGATTTATTAATCGCGCTAATCGAGACCTAACTGTACATATATACTAACTATTGTTATTGCAAAAAACCTATTCTTTAGCGATACTCTGCAAGGAATGTACCAATCGCGATGAAACCTTTCACATCTAATCGGAGATATTTCTGCGATCATCCCACTTGCAAAAATTTATGGAATTCATTATTGTTAATAACTATTGTTATTGTAATTATCCAATAAGAACGGTAAACCACTTTACGGCATCCTACAACTACTGCTCGTTCCACTAAAAAGTGTGAAATAAAACAATTTTTAACAATAAAATAATCCGACTTCGAAATGCCCTAAAGAGTGTAAAATAATTTCTATTTCATAAAATCTACTTTATCGTTAAATAGGATACTAAATACAATACAACCTTTTCGGAGGCAGCGCAAAATGAAAAATACCCGAATATACGATCCTACCAATAACGATTTGATTGCGGTATGGCAAACTTGATAAATAATATGACGTAAGAAACGGGACGTTATAGGTACGGCTGAAAACATTTATAATTGTAACGATTGTATTAGAAGTTGGCAGCACTTTTGATGTAAATGTAGTTAATCCACACTGGGTATGTTGATTCTAGTTGAATATTGTTAACATGAAATTATCAAATGAGTCATTCGGTAACCGGCGTGTCATCAGTTGCCAATCACTGAACTAGGATCTTCCGAGTAGAACAAAAGTTTTTAATTTTGCGCTTCCTCCGAAAAGGTTGAAATGTATTTAGTATCCTATTTAACGATTAAGTAGATTTTATTAATTGTTCGCGCGATTTGGTTGAGTGGTCTCCGTCAACTTGACGTACGCCGTGATAAGACAAGCGAATGCCGGATCGGGTAGGGCGTGAGTGAGAAAAAAGTAGAATTTAGCGAATCGCACAATGTATATTGTACTCGTCTTGATTACAAATCCGATTAACAAATAGGATTAAGAGTCTGTGCCGAAGCGTCGGTTCGGCGCTTAGACTGTAGCGGAACGAAGCTCGGTGTTCGTTAGACAGAAATGAGGCGATGATGTTGTAGCTTGCGTATCGATCAGCTGGTAATGAATATAAGCGGTTTGTTGCCGCGGTAAATATACTAGCGGGCTCCGAAAGGTCTGGAAACCAAAGGATTCCAGAACGTTCGGAGCGTCTTTAAGAGCAGAATGCGCAAAGGTTCTGCGTTCGCGAAAGTCCTAGACCGTTCGCTGGAACATACCGCCCGCCTTCTTCGTGCAACGGAGAATCGAACACCGCTCCGCATCAACAACGCAGGCAAGTAACGTAAACAGAATACATAGCCTGTAAATATGTAAAGTAAATAACAGAAAATTACGATTACAATTGGCCAAGTGGCGTGGAGAAAAGAAAACAACAAAAGAATAGCGACAGAACGCATGTTACATTACAGATTGTTCTGCCGTTTATTAAAAGTGAAGGTATGGACGATTTCCGAGGCTGGCATGGTGGGGGTCGCCCGCTGTGAAGTTGGTAGTTTTGAGCGTAGCGGAGCATTTTCACGTGGTCAAGGGGCGTCGGTCTGGTCCACCGGCAGAGGGCAGCACAATCGGCCGTGTTGTAGTGCCGCTGGCTGTTTTTAAGGCCACCACCCGAACGCGTCCGTCTGGTCCGGGGTGCAGGGCTGTGACGCGGCCCATTAGCCATTTTGCCGGCGGCTGCAGGTTGTCGCGAAGAAGTACGAGTGCGCCGACCTTCAGGTTCTCCTTTTGGTGTCTCCACTTGGATAACTGCTGGAGGTGCTGCAAATACTCGGATCTCCACCTGTTCCAAAACTGAGAGGGCATGGTATTAATTTGTCGCCAACGCGTAAGCGAGGAAGAAGTAGTAAGTGGTGGATTGGGTTCCGGAGAGTTGGAGGTCGATTCCCCGATCAAGAAGTGCCCCGGTGTAAGTGCTGAGAGGTCCGAGGGATCCTCGGAAAGTGCATAAAGAGGCCTCGAGTATAGGCACGCCTCAATTTGGCAAAGCAGCGTGGACATTTTCTCGAAGGTGAGTGTCGAGTTTCCAATGACCCTGCGTAAATGATGCTTCACGGATTTAACTCCGACTTCCCACAGTCCGCCGAAGTGCGGGGCATACGGCGGGATGAAGTGCCAAGTAGTCCCATCTTTCGCCAGAACTGCTGCAGTCTCCTTGTAGAAGACAGAGGCGCTTGTAAACATACGAGTGAGTTCTCGTTCAGCCCCGTGGAAGACTGTTGCGTTGCCGCTGTACATGGAGGCGCAACGCCCTCGCCGTCCAACGAATCTTTGGATGGCCACTAAGAAGGAGGCAGAGGTTAAATCGGAGACGACCTCCAGGTGGATGGCCCGCGTGGTAAGGCAGACAAAGAGAGATATGTATCCCTTGTATGATTTGTGCCCGCGTCCTGGTGATGTGCGAAGCATAATGGGCCCTGCGTAGTCCACACCGGTGACGAGGAAGGGTCGTTGAGGCGCAGTGCGGTCCAAGGGCAATTGACCCATTAGTTGAGAAGCGGGGCGTCCACTGAAGCGAGCGCAGCGGACGCAGCTTCTTATGACGGCTCGAACTAGGGGCCTTCCACGGAGAATCCAGTACCGTCTGGCGAGTAGGCTTGTCGTCAGTTACGGGCCTCCATGGAGTGTCCGAGCGTGGGCGTCCTGGACTAGAAGTTTAACCAGAGGGCAGGCCTTCGCCACGATGATGGGATGCTTTTCGTCATACGGAAGGATGGCCGAAGATAAGCGTCCTCTGACACGCAGCAAACCTTGGTCATCGACGAATGGCCTCAATGAGGCAAGAGCAGAACCCCTCGCCAGCGCACGTCCCCCTGTAAGTTGTTCGAGTTCCTCCGCAAGGTGGGTTCGCTGGGACAACCGCAGAGGTGCTCGAAGCGCCGAGGCGCGTTCTGAGGCTCGGATGAACCCCGTTTCGCAGGGCTGTTTCCTGGCAAGGTGAGCGAACCTGAAACACTGCGCTAGGACTTGCAGAAGGCGCGTTAGTGATGAGAAGCGGGAGAGGAACTCATTGGAGGTTTGATTTATGTGTAGGCAGACCAAGACCTTTCGCCTCTCTTCGTTCGCGGGTCCGTCTTCTCCAAGGCATCCAGCAGGCCAGGATTCCGGGTCGTCCTTCAGCCATGAGGGTCCTTGCCACCACAACTGAGAGTTCAGCAATTCAGGGGGAGAGATACCCCGCGTTGCCAGGTCGGCTGGATTGCTCGTGGAACCGATGTGCTTCCAGTTCTCCGCAGAGATGAGGGACTCGATGCTGGGTACACGGTGGGCCACAAATGGCTTCCAAAGAGACGCATGCCCACGTATCCAGTGGAACGAGACAGTGGAGTCGGTCCAGGCGGTCACAGAGACCGGTAAGTTGAGGCCATCTTTTACCTGGACGAGTAGCTTGGCGAGAAGTAGGGCGCCGCATAACTCTAGCCTGGGGATACTTACAGTCTTCACCGGGACTACTTTGCTCTTGGCCACCAGCAGTCCGATGGAAGTCCGTCCTTGAGTTTTGACCCGCAAATAGACCGCGGCGGCGTAGGCCCTCTGCGAGGCGTCGCAGAAGCCGTATAGCTCCACTCCGTCTTTGCAGCCGGCGGGATATGAGACCCAACGGGGGACTGAGAGGGCGTCCAGTTGAGTCAGCGAGCTCCTGAAGGTGCACCACGAGTCTCGGATCATGGTCGGAAGTTTCTGGTCCCAATCGACGCCCAGGATCCAAAGATGTTGCATCAGTATTTTTGCAAATATTAGAACCGGCGCCGTCCAACCCAAGAGGTCGAAGAGGCTGGCCACCTCTGACAGTATCGACCGCTTTGTGACCTTCTTCGTACGGTCCACTGGGCCGGCGACTCTTAGAGAGAAGGTATCGTCGGTTGGGTTCCATTTGACCCCTAGTGTACTGACCCCAGTCGGTTCCTGAAACAGACGGGGATCCGAAGAGGGGTGCTCCTGGAGGTCGGGTAAGTTGGAAGCCCATTTGCTTAGCCTGAAACCACCGGCTTCGAAAATAGCGATGACTTGGCGTTTCAATTCCAGCGCCTTGCCCAAATCGTCCGCGCCGGCCAAAATGTCATCGACGTAGCTGTGTCGTAGGATCGCCTCGGCTCCTAAGGGGAAGCGGTGCCCTTCATCCGCCGGCAGTTGAGTGAGCACCCGCAACGCTAAGAACGGTGCACAGGCGGTTCTGTAAGTAACTGTGGTAAGTCGATAGTCCTGGATCGCGGCGCCAGGGTGGGGACGCCAAAGAATCCTCTGCCAGTCCGTATCCGCTGGATGAACCTGAATCTGCCGGAACATCTTGATTATATCCGTGGTAAAAACTACGCGGAAGAGCCTCCATCGAGTCAAAATCATCAATAAGTTGGCCTGCAGTTTAGGCCTGGCGGAGAGGCAATCGTTCAGAGAATAGCCCGATGCAGTTCGACACGACGCGTTGAAAACTACCCGCAACCTGGCCGAGGGGTCGTGTCGTTTGACCACGGCGTGATGGGGGAGATAATACGCTGGCCTTTGGGCCTCCGCTTCGGGGACGGCCTGCATGTGGTTCAAAGAAGAATATTCTTCCATGAAATCCGCGTACCTCTGACCCAGGAAGTCGTTCGACGCCAATCGACGTTCGCAGCTCAGCAGGAGCTTGAAAGCCGTTGACCTGGATGGCTTTAGCGTTGAAGCAGGTTCCCTGTTGAAAGGTAGGCGTACACGATATCGTCCGGTTAAGTCCCGTCGATGTGTGTCCTGGAAATGTCTCTCACAGCGCTCCTCTTCTGCCGACAGGGGGGCTGGATCTCGTACCTCTTCCAGTTCCCAGAATCGCTGCAGTAGTTGATTTGTCGATTGTTCCGTATGACAGTGAAAACTGCGCACGGTTGCTCTAGGCGGGGGGTTGTCCCCCGAGGCCGACCCCATCAGCACCCAACCGAAGGAAGTGAGTTTAGCGACCGGAGTGTCCGTTGGTCCAGTGCGGGTGCCGCCCAGGAAGAGGCTCCCGCAAACATCCGCTCCTAGTATCAGGTCCACCCTCGAAGGAACGCCGAACTCCGGATCCGCTAGGTCGATTCCGTGAAGATGCGGCCAGGGCTGGGCCACCACCTGAAGGGCAGGCAAGACAGAGGTGAGCCTCCTCAGTACTAGGGCTCGGATCGGCAACCTGAAGTCCGTTGTTCGTCGAGGCCGCACCAGCAGCTCGACCTCGGTGGTCGCCGTTCCGGTTTCCTGCACTTGGACCCCTGAAACTGAGACCCGAACCGCCCGCCGTGGCAAACGCAGAGCTTGAGCGACCCAGGAGGTCACGAAGGAGGTGTCTGACCCGGTGTCCAAAAGGGCTCGCGCTTCAATGGTATCCCCGGATGGGGCCTCCAGTGTCACCTTGGCGGTGGCCAGCAGGGCAACCGCGCGAGAGGATACGGTTAAAGAGAGAGCGTTCGTAGGAGAGGAGCTGTCTGGTCCAATCTTGCTGACCGGCTCCAAGGTAGGTGGAATCTCCTCCCCCATTTTCGTTGGTGATGACTCAGCCGCCGTTCCGTCGTGCAGGAGTGTGTGGTGTCGGCCACTGCAGACCAGGCACCTCTGGGATGAAGGGCATTTTCGCGACTCATGTCCAGTATTCAAGCAATTGAAGCAGGCCTTCAGATGCTCCCTTCGCCGCGCCGAGTTTAGTGCCTTGATTTCTGCGCAATATCCCAATCCATGTGTCCCCGCGCAGGAAGGGCACTTCCTTGTCTGGGCGGGTCTGAATGACGCTGCAAGAGAAGTCGAGATAGTCTTCTTTACAGCTGGATTCCCTTTACTTTTAGGCTTGAGATCCTTGTTCGGAACGGAGTGAGTCGCTTGGTCCGTCATCTGCGCCGCGTCCAACGCCTGAATCCTGTTTTCCAAGAAGTGCGAGAGCTGGTAGAAGGCCGGAATATCCCTGCTGTCTGTCAAGGACGTTTCCCAGGCCAACAGCGTCACCTTGTCCAGCTTTTGTGTCAGCAAGAAAACGAACCACTCGTCCCATGCGCTGACCGGTTTCTTCAAGGAAGAGTAAGCTCGGATGGTCTGTCGAAAGGTGTCGAGCAGTCTCTTCAATTCCGAGACTGACTGTTGCTTTGCTGGCGGACAAGATAAGAGGGCACGGTGGTGAGAAAACGACAGCAGGTGCGTGTTACCATAACGCAGTTCGAGGTCCTCCCAGGCTTCTTGAAAACCGGTGCTTGTTATAGGGGTGTTTTGAATCACCTCCGCTGCGTCCTCGGTTAGGCTGCACTTCAGGTAAAGCAGTTTCTTGACGTCCGACAGTTGAGTCACATCCAGCACTAGGCTCTTGAACAAGTCACGGAAGCTTTCCCATTGCAGAGGATCGCCTGAAAAGGTTGGAAGCTCAATTTTTGGTAGCTGCGGTTGCAGCGTCGGCGCAGGCGTGGCTTGCTCCCCGTCGGAAGAATTGTTCGGCGACCGTTCCATCAGGTGCTGCGCGATCATTGCCGATGTATTGAGGTACGTTTCGTCTACGACCGAGAAGACGTCTCGCTGGGCATAAGAACTGGCAGCTGCTTCCTTGCACCGCATCAGGGTTCGATGTCCTGTTAAGAAGGGTTCCCAGTATCGCTCAAGTAAGCCCATACGCTGTTCCAGAACCGCGCGGGTGATTTTATCTTTCCCTAGTTTGCATAAGTTGTTCCAAAACCTCTGGATCCAACCCACGAGCTCCTCTTGTTCGCGTAGGAGATCGGCGAACGACACATCTGTGGCCATGACTCGTTCTTTCCTTTTAATTCAGAATGGTTTAAAATTGTAGGTCAAGGTAACGCAGCGATGACAACGACACAGGAATTGGAGCAGACTCGGTGTCAGTGCGGCTGTCAATATTTTGGTTCGGTTTGGAAGATCGAAGCACCTCAGCTGACGTCACTCGACTGAGCCGTTGAAAGTTAAAACGTGAAATTGACGTTACCCGTTGTACCGATCGAAGTAAAGATTCGCGCATAAATCCGATCTGCGTGCCTTGTACGAATCATTGACGATCAATCTAGTCAAGTCCGTTGTATATTATATCTTGTGATAAGCGCGTCTATTGAACATCTAGTGGATGAGAATTGCGTTCCGTTGATTGTTAAACGCATAAATTGCCACAAGATTTGCGATGCTTCCACCATTCTGTGATAGGCTCTTTTGCCATACTGAAGTAAGTATTTTCGAATAATTCAACATTTTGTTACACCGCAAAATTACGTCTCATTACTGACTTCACCGTTCCTTCTGCCTTCGCGAACGCGAACCACTCCTCGAGACTCGTGGGAGAAATTGTACGCTTGTTCTACTCGCGATATATTCTCCTTAAAAGAAAAATAAATAACGTTTCAAACTCCCCATTGGTCCCGTAAAAAAAACATTTTGAATTTTTTCATTCCTGACGATTTTTATTGCAAAAAACGTACTATTTGATATACGTTCGGCGTAGGTTTGCCGATTACTCCGGGACGTATGGACCAATCGGAACGAAACTTTTTGCGTCTTGTAGAGTATTTCTTCCACTAGGTCCCGCCAAAAAGACATTTTGTATTTTTTCATTCCTAACGACTTTTATCGTAAAAAACGTAATACTTCATTTATATCTGGCGGCGTTTATGCTGCAGGGAATGTACCGATTGCGATGAAACTTTTCACATCTAGTAGGATATACAGGGTGTCACGTCACAGCCGAAGAGGGATGATTGCCAAGATGATTCTAAACAATTTTTTCCTTTGCCAAAATGTTGGTTAATGCTTGGTTTTCGAGTTAATAACAAAAAATACCGACCAATCCAAGCGCGTATAGCGCGCAGTCCCAGGGACTGCAGTGTCGGGTACGAAAACCGGGCCTGACGTAGGTCGCAAACGAACGGCTTGGCACCCCGTTGGCATAGCACAATAAAAAAACTGAACTGGTAGAACAGTTTTAGTCGTTGTTTAAAATGAATACGGAACCTAATCTCTTGTCGCCTATCATAATGTAAAAAATGAAATTCTAAGCATTCTAAACAACAAATAAAAATGTTTGAGGTGGAATAATTAATAAACGTTTGAATTAGAAGCTACGTTAAGATGAAAAATTAGAAAACAATTTAAATGAAACTTACCCATTCGTTTCTAAATTAACCTGCTACGCTGGAAGCAAATAATTGTCACTGGGAAACGGGGAAACACGTTCGGTAGAACAGCAGTTTTCATGATTGGGCCAGTGAACTGCCCTCATTTATTGCACTTAGGTATGAATAATAGGCGAGGTGTATCCTCGTTGAATGTGCAGAATCGACACAGTGACCTAGTGGGAATTATTTGCTTTCAGCATAGCAAGTTAATTTAGAAACGAATGGGTAAGTTTCATTTAAATTGTTTTCAAATTTTGCATCATTAGCGTAGCCTCCAATTCAAACGTTTATTAATTATACCACTTCAAACATTTTTATTTGTTGTTTAGAATCCTTAGAATTTCCTTTTTTACATTATGACATGCGATAAGAGATTAGGTTCCGTATTCATTCTAAACAGCGACTAAAAATGTTCTACCAGTTTAGTTTTTTTATTGTGCTATGCGGGGTGCCAAGCCGTTCGTTCGCGACCTACGTCAGGTCCAGTTTTCGTACCCGACACTGTAGTCCCTGGGACTGCGCGCTATACGCGCTTGGATTGGTCGGTATTTTTTGTTATTAACTCGAAAACCAAGCATTAACCAACAATATGGCAAAGGAAAAAGTTGTTTAGAATCCCCTTAGCAATCATCCCTCTACGGCTGTCGAGGTAGTCGCCTGATACCCTGTAATTCCTACTAAATATGGAAGGTTTCATCGCGAACGATACATTCCTTGCAGAGTAACATGAAGGCATAGATTTTTTGCTATAACAGTAGTTATTAACAAATTCAATAAATTTTTGCAAGTGAGATCATCGCGGATATACCTCCTGCTAAATGCGAAACGTTTCATCACAATCGGTACATTCCCTGCAGCATAAACGCCAGAAGATATAAATGAAGTATTACGTTTTTTGCAATATAAGTCATTAGGAATGAAAAAATACAAACATTTTTTTACGAGACCAATCGGGAAATATACTCTACAAGATGCAAAATTTTTGATCCGATTGGTCCATCCGCCTTGCGGTAATCGGTGAAAAATATAAATCAAGCATTACTTTTTTTGTAAAAATATCGTTAACAATGAAAAAATGCAAAATGTCTTTTTAACGGGACCAATCGGGAGACATACTATACCAGATGCAAAAGGTTTCGTTCCGATTGGTCCATCCGTCTCGGCGTAATCGGTGAACATACATAAAAAAAAAATAAAAAAAATACATACACATCGAATTGAGTATCCTCCTCGTTTTCGAAGTCGGATAATAAACATACTTGAGGCGCTGTTGCCTTCCTAGATCGTGTTGCGCGCACGCCAGCTGAGAATTAAACCTGTCAAGGTCGTAACAGAATACGCAAGTGGCTCCACCAGGCCCAAAGAAAAAACTGCTGTAATATCGACATCAAACATAAATGCTGCGCAATTCATTTCTAGTCCAACTGAAGTTCCTGCAATATTGTCATCGTTGAGAAGGAGTTTTCCCTCGACGTAAAGGTAACTCTCATTAGGAAATGTGTACAAATCTTGTTGTTGAATGGGAATTCGTATTTCGTCATTGTTTCCGAACGTTGTGTTAGTGTATGGGCTATAACTATGTAATTCTATCGTAAACTGGCAATGTTCAATGGATCCATCATTTTCGTTTCTTGATCACAAAACCCAATGATTGCAGAAATTGCATGTTTTTGTTGCTCAAATCTTGCGATGTGTTCAGTTTGGAGATATTTCCTCTACTGAATGATTGTATAATTGTTATCGTTTTTTACATCATTATCCTTACTGCAGCTGTTTCATCTGTCGTAAAATGTTCAACATGCCGTTTGAGCCGTTCGAGCCGTTCGAGCCGTTCAACAGGCCATTGATTATTGTTTATATTCCTGTTATTTTTTACACCGCCTAATATCAAGCCTCACTGTCACTTCTTCTCCACGGAAATTTATCAGATTATCGTTTTGATCGGTAATGCGTTGTTACGTTGCGCGCCGAGAGCGAACGCGCAACGTAAAAAGAAGAAAAATAAAATGTATATTTGTATGTAAAATGTTAAGATAGAAAATATTGAACTTGATTCTTCTTATTTTTGGGCGATGAGAAAGGATCGCTGCCACCAGTTCTGACCGCGTATGACGCGGAACCGTCCTCTAACATATTAAAAGACGGAAATTTAGATAGTAATTATTTCCGTTGGGTTCGTCAGTGTTCTGGGTCCCATACGGGTCCCTCCTTGAAACTTTGTGTTGGGGTGCGTGGATTTGAAATATAGAATGACACAGGAAATGATACAAAACGGAATTTGAAAGAAATATTAATACAGTTTAGTGTGCAAAAAGAAAAGTAAATTTAATTCAAAATAATTATTGAAGTTAACAGAAAACTGAATTTCAAATGACTATTGTTTGAGTACTGAATAGATTCTGTTTGAATACTGTTAATTACTATTAAATGAATTCAATTAAAACAATACTGATTTACAAGGGTAAAGATGCTTAACCTATTGTTTGATATAAATGTGATTGAAATCGGAAAAAGATGTTTAGCCTTTGGTTTACAATGAGACCTATTATAATATTAACCGGATTTGAAATGAAAAAAAAATTATACGTTCTTAATGTAGGACGACTACCTCGACCAAATATAATAGAAAATTAAGGGTTTTGGCGGTTTCTATCCGTAAGGTAACGACCTGAACGAAGAGACTCTTACAACCCCCGAAAGGGCTTTACAGGACGTTCCTGGTAAAGCATCGTAGTCGAAACAATCGTCACACACAAATTCGCGATGATTCAAAATTCGGAATATTAAGATAGCGAAATAAATTATAATCGGTACCTGAATGTGGAAACGAGACGATCTAAAATGAAGAGACTCTTACAACACCCGAAAGGGCTTAATAGATCGCCCGTTTTGCCTCGTCGAAATTGAATAATAATGCCGTGCTCGACAAATTAGTACAGAACAGGCTTACCGTGTGACTGTAGAATGTAATATGCGATAAAAATCGCTCTGAAGATCGCTATGTTATCGCTGAATAATCGCTGGTTAATCTGGAACACCAAGAAAGATGAGAGACTGGTGCCGCACTAACACTTGTCGGGCACCCAGTTGTCGTTTATTGCAAAAATTAAATAGACGTATCACGAGACAATTACAATTTCGAAATTAGAACAATAAACGCGATTGAATTTAATACGAGAATTACGCGATCAAACGGATTAAAAAGAAAGAAAAATGATAGAATTTTAATAGTATGAAATGAGTTTAACGTGCGCGTCTCTGAGTCTTTGCCGCGTATCCGGAATTTCACCCTCGCGACACTCTGCCTAATACGTAGGACTTGCCTCGCAGCTAAATTACACGAAGTACAATCGACAACTCTATCTCGCACTCTAGACGCACGGGCTCCCGTCACGACTTACTCGATTGTTCGACGAAGAGTGATCAGAATCGATCGCGATCCTAGCCGGAAGGGCCCGTCGCGAGGACGATGTCCTGCGTGGGGACATTTCGGCAAATCATAGCGCGTGACGACAGCGTCGCATGCGTCGCTATTGGCTGAAAGCGCGTGCGAGCTAGATTCCTCTAGATCATACTTTCTCTCTTTCTTGGTGTTCCATCTTTGTCTAACGGCTTTTCGGTGTT